CTCCCGTAGGAAGATCCTCCGGCATATTTGGCCTGGGAGGAGGAGGGGCCGTGGTGGCGAGCCACGACACTACGCCGAAAATAGGTTGAGAAAAGCGCGTGCATTACGCTCTGCTGCGCAAACGCTCCGGTCACTAGGAATATTCTCAACCAAAAGAGAGACGCTCCGTCTTTTCCTCCGGAAAGGCTGGGAAGCATCAGAGTTGGCGTGAAACACCTAATCCACGCCAAAAGGCTGAGCCAAAGCTCAGCTATGGGGCCTCGTTCTCGTCCGTAGACGCCTCTCCCGTAGGAGGATCCTCCGGCTCATTTGACCTCAGTAGACTACCTACTCCAACTCACGGCAACTCCCCCAATCGCCAACTTGCCCCGAGATTGGGCTAGCCCTCTGGCGAAGCCACGCGCCAAAAAGAAGCCAAATAGGTTTGACGGGCGGTGACGCGGGCGGGGAGAAGAAGCTGAATGAGGATGGCCCTTGCATCATCCACATAGATGCGAGCAGTATTTTGGTCCTTCCACCGACCTTGTATGACTGTGCGGCCAAGGCCATGCTGTTGGTAGAACCAAGTAGCACCACCCCTGCGAAGGCAGTATGGCAAATAGTCGGCCGGATCCAGGCCAATTGCTGTGACCAGAGAAGAAAACTCCAGCCGAAAGGTAGAGACTGATTTTGAATAAATGCGATCTCTCGGGCGTACTCGGTCCATCAAAAATTGCAGAACTCGAACCAGCGAGGGGTCACGGAGGGACAAAGACTGCTGAAGTCCTTTTGAGGTTTTTGCTCCCAAGATTGCCGCCACCACTGTTCCTTCTTCAGGAAAAAGGCGCACATGCGAAGTGCTGAGATTCAAGAGTTCCATGGCCCGCAGGAAAAAGGCAAAGTCCAGAAAAACCAGCAAGGCTAGGTCAAACCTTTTGAGCTGAGCAGCTGCTGCGGCCATAGCTTTGGCCCCCAACCAAGAAATGGGAGAGGTCCGCTTTGGCATATGAACCCGGTGCCAATTTCGAAGGAACAGCTGCGAAGTCAAAAGGTGGGGCCTGCACCGAGGGAAAAACCTTTTGAGCCCACTGACAGTCCAGCCTGCCCAAGTGACGTTGTCTCCCTCTTGGTACAGGTGATTGATTTATTCTGAAACCTCGTCATCAAGTTCCATCATAGAGCGAGGCAGCCTGCCCCGTAGGGCGCGAACATATAGAAAGAAAGCCTGCGCCGCATTTTCATAAGATCTCCTTGTCTTGGCTATGATACCCAAAAAGCGCAGATGGTCAGGACGGTTCGAACCTCCGTGACGCACCATCTGAGAAGTTCCACTTGCTGATCGTCCACAAGGTGATGGGTATCAAGCCAGTTGCCAAGGAGATTGCGGTGATGCGACGGCAGATGCGGTTCAGCCGCTTGGAGGAGCTCCTCCCTTTTCCGAGCACGTAGAAAGTGACGAGGGAGTCCACGATGCAGAAGAATCGCTTCCATGTTGCGCCTGGTCCCTGGACCGTCTTCTGAGCTCGGCCAAGAACGCCGTGAGCTCCAGGACATTGATGTGCTGCGACTGCTTCCATTTGTATGAAAGCACATCCCGCCACAGCCATCGGAAGGCAGCGTACGGTCCAGGCCGGCTCCCAGCCATATCGTTGCCCCGGTCTGTCAACCTGACCTCACACCCAGTGTGGTATGTGTGTCGGAGCAGCCACGAAAAGTGCTGGGTCTCCTGTCCTGAATCCATGCTATCCAGGAATTTGACACACTGTGTGACAGCCCAATCCACAGCTGTAGCGTCCTGGAGGTATCGCGTCGCTGCCTTCAGCTGATGGTGCATCAGGGACTCGAGCGTCTCCGCTTTGTTGCCAAGAGCAGGCCAGTCACTGCTCGCTTGGCCATGGCGTTAGCCTGCCTGACGGCAACATTATCCTGCCGCCGAAGCTGCGAGAGGCCTTCCGAAAACCGATGGGAACGGAGAGCAGGGAGACCGTGGTCCCACTGGTGCCGGTCGTTCCAAAATCCCCGTCTTCTTATCCGGCAGAACGTGAACCTATCTGGAGCCCAGTGGGTCCCCATGAGATCCCCATCATCCTCTTCCTCTTCCAAGCGGGCCTTCCCGAAATCGGTCTTGAAATCCCAGCGGTCCCCAGGAACACCATAGTCCATCGGCTCTTGAGTCTCGATGCCCTTGAGCCCTGCCGCCTTGGACAGAGAGAAGCCCTTTCCAGAGAAGCGTTCCCCGAAGCACGGAACGTGCCACCATTTCCGACAGTACTCTTAGCCATGGCCTCTGGAGCACCTGAGGGAGCAGAGCTTCAGCCCACACTGGCGTGGGCAAGGATATTTCCGGAGGTCCGGCATATCCAACTCCCTTTAGCACACCCCGCACACGCCGGTGTCCTCCATAGGCAGGGGCAACAAAAGCGATTTGTCCTTGTGGCAATAGAGCAGCCCCCTCCGCTCGGCGACGTGTCGGCACAACTAATCACCTCCGATAACGGAGACGAGAGGTCGGTCTCCGTCCGCCAAAGGGAGGACGACGCTAAAATAAAGAATCTCATCCAGGATCGGCACGCTCGGGGAAATCTATGTCCCATCCTTCGCCCAGTCCATCACACAATAGACCTCTTGAAGGATCGAGAACATAGGTCGCTTGAAGGCCGCCGCGAAAGCGGCTTTTCCAGTCCAGTGCCTTAAGCAGAACTCATCTTTCATCTCTATGGAGAGCAGCCCAAGGCCCATATCAGTGAGTTCCCGCGACTTTTCGTAGGCATGCCTGAGAATGCGCTCTTTCCCAAGCACTTCTCCTCCTTGGAGGGTTCCGTCCAGTGCCTCGCTGAGCTATTTCCCCAAATTCCGGGAAAGCCCCAGCATCTCGCATGCCGCCATCAAGCGAAGGGGATTCTCAGATGGGGTCCCGGCCTCGCCCTCTACGATCTCCTTCTTCAGGTGCCTCAACTCATCAAAGTTATCGTAGTACAGCACCGTCTGGGCGTCGGTTTCCGAGATCGGACGGTCCTTCCTCATATCCCCCAGGCTGGGCACCTTACCAATATCATAGGAAATGAACCGGATCGCCGCTTGGATCAAGGTGACAACCGAGGTCCATACCATTAGGACCACGGTGAGTCCCGACCGGACCTCCGCGTCACGAGAAAGGCCCAGGGCATCTCCTCGGACCTTCTTAGCGAAGGCAAAGAAACCAGCCCAACGGAGAGGCATCTTGAATAAGTTGAAAGTCGACTGGAAATCCTCGCTGTCCAAAACAAGGTACGAGTCCTTCTCTACCATCCTCGCCGTGAGCTGGCCAATGTACGGCAAGGTATCCTGAGCCCCCGGAAGCAACCTCATAGCATCATTAGTGGGGCACAGGATAGAGATAAACCTCTGGAGCTCCACGGTCTTCCCGTCTTTCTTCTTTGTTTTCAGGACACCCTCAGCTCCATTAGTAATGGGGTGCCCCCGTTTGTCCCGCGGGATCTCCTTATCTCGAACCGCAGTGAACATACCTCGGTCGTAACCGGCCCGAACTATTTTGAACCATTCTTCGTCAGTGGCTCGCACCCGAGAGCCTCTGTGTCTAGTGGGCAGCTCGGCTTAAGGAAGGAGGTAGGCCGTGGGGTCCTGGATTGCCTCCTTGAGGTCAGGAAGGAGGCAGTCCTCCAAGTTCACCACAGCAACCGTTCCTACCGAAGGCCATGCGGGGATGACCTTCTCCGCCACCAAATCCTGCATGTGATCAATAGGCTGGCCGTTGTAATCGAACTTTTTGGACTTTAGCCGCTTTACCGACTCAGGGGCCGGCCCCACGGTTCCACCCCGGCTGATAAGCCGGGTGACCCGCTCCGCCACTCTGTTGACCACAACTATCTAGGCATTGCTCAGTGTCCTGGGAAGAAGGGCGCACACTGGCTTTGCCCAAGCCGCACAGTACAAGTAGTTCAGCACCGTGATCACCACCCGAATCCAGTGGACGTTCTCCTTGGTGACCTTGCCCGACCCAAGGATGATCAAGGCTGCGTGCAAAGGTAGCACGTCCCTCTGCGCCGGCGGCCGGTCCTCGGAAGAGTTGACCTCGTCGCCCGGAGGCAACCTTTCCGGATTAGAGTGCACACGGGTAAAAGTGCCGAGGGCCGACTTCAGCGAGAGGAGCGCCTCTATGTAGACCTTGCCCAGGCTCGCAATCTGTGGCCTTCGGTTCAAGACTCATGACTTTCTAGCGCCAGTCCTTCATGGAAAGGTTGGACCAATACGAGGAATCATCCTTCCCCGTGGGGAGACCTTCGTCGTCGCTCTCCCCAAGGCCCCAGGTCAAAGTCCAGCACGCCGTCCAGAACTATACCTACAAACTCTTCCCCTTGGAGAGCGTCCTCCAGCTCCATATCCTCGGGGTCGCTCGGGTCATAATCCGGGACTTCCTCCTTGACCGAGTGGCCGCTCATTCCGTCGGGGCGACCTCTTTCGCTCCTTTCCCGGTCTTGCCTTTCTTATTATCCTTGCCGCCCTTCGTGTCTACCTTGACGCCCTTCTCGTCGCCCTTCTAGGGCCTTTCCTCCGCCTTGAAGCTTCCGCATACGGAATTCCCCCGCCCACTCCTTCGAAGCCAAGACTGCTTCGTCCCTTTCTAGGAGTGACGGGCTTTTAGACTCGAGAAGCTCGAGGAACTGCGCCCGATTCCACGAGGCGTCCGCTTGGCTCAGCTCCAAGGCCTTTAGCCTTTGGGCTATGGTGACCGCCGCCGAGTGAGCCTTGCCCGCCGCGATCTAGTCGAGAGCCGTGGCTAAGGTCTTCATCTCCCTTATCAGGTGGATCTACAGCTACTATTGTTATTACCGTTTTCTACTATGAATCATGCCGTGTAGTTGTAGTTGTCACTATTCTTATTGGTATGATTACTATCCTCTCCGACGTGATATAAACACGTAAAACCGACATACCATTCGCGTCGATTTTTACTATATTTCCTACCCTCGCAACGCCGACTGTGTCGGCTCGTTGCAGTGACGCCACTGCTGTGGTCGCTATTGTTGTGGAGAACAGTACAGCTGCTATTGTAGTAGCAATTCGGAGCCAACATCAATAACTACAAAACAACGACGACATCACCAACAACAGCAACAACATCATCAACAACCGTCAACAAAAACCACAACATCAATGCGTCGAGGCGACGGGCGAGGACCGACATGCCGCTTGAATTCGTTGTTATAGTATAAAGCTAGCCACACTAGCTTTCGTGATTGGTTCATACTCTTGATTTTTCATTCATAAAGAACGTTCTCATTACTTTAGTATTCCGGCGAAGATTGAAATTACATATCTCATATATATATATATATATATATACATATGAATTTGCCACCAACAGAAATTTAATTTGTGAGAAATCTCCCCTCACTTATCAAGCTCTAGTTGCTATGTTTGGATGTGAGGAGATTAGGTGGTCGTGCTTTCCATTTTATTACTACGACGACGACCTATCCTAGGCTTAATTGAATATTGGGTGTGCACGTATTTAGATAGATTTATGTATAGAACACTGTGTTGATTGAAAAAGTTGAATATGAAATAAGCCACTATGAAATATCCAACAAATATTGACGCAAGACCAACTGCATATTGCAGAAGTAATGTGTATCGCATCGGAGTGCTGCTAACTCATAAATCTAAAAGTACCTATATCTAAACTGAGAAGGCATGACACAAGCACCGCAATTGCAGTTCGAATACCGCATAGCAGGTATCATGTGGGTAACTCTTACGTACATGCTTGAAACCATTTCTCGAGGAAATGTTGCTGTCAGACTTCGCACGTCTGTGCGAAGCAGATTCGCGCTGGCATTCCCTGCACATGCTTAGAAGCCTGTGCGCCAGGAGCAGGGGAGAAGAACGGTTGGTTACGGCGGGGAAAAGTGGATTCCTGAAGGGGAAAGCATATGTGCATATATGGTCACGCGCTCCGCAGTCCCCCCCCCCCTCACCCCCCAAAGGTCAATGGTCCGGATATAGGGTCGGGCCCCCCCCCTCCCCTGTGGTGTGGGTGTGGGGTTCCTCTTCCCCCTGTGGGTGGTTGCGGGGTTTTGGGGTTTAGGGTTTAGCTGAAGCTTTTGAATTTTGGGTTTACGGCTACAAGGTATAAGGCTTCGAGTCGACAAGGGCTTAGGGAGGTTTTTCGGTGTATGCTCTGCTTTAGGCTTAGAGCCTGCAATTAGGTGGGGTTTAGGGTTGGGTGTAGCGTTTTAAGTACAAGTTAAGGTTGCTCAAAACCGGGGCACGCGCTGCGTCATAGGGTTTACGGCTTGCTTGCGAAGGGCTTGCGCGTGAGCCCTGGCCGCCAGCACCACCCCACCATGCAGTGGCAGCTCCAACGGCCCCAACCCCTTTCCGCACACGCCAGGCCACACCCCTGTCAGACCATACCATTGCGGGGGGGGTGGGGGCTGGGAACGCCAGACGCCTGACCATATATATGAGTATTTACGTATGTAGACGAAAATGCGCACAAGTAGATGTATCTATACACTACCGTTGTCAGATAAACAGATGGATGGATCGATAGACAGATCGAGAATCAAAGAAGCGCGTGGATGCTCCGTGAACCGGATGTGCATGGAATAGACAAAAACGACAGCCACAACCACTGCGGCACACGAGACTTGATGCTGGAACACGTTGTACACGCCAAGGAAGTTGCAAAAGCAAGCGATGGCACCGGCCAGAACAAACCCTGCCCTTTGGAAAATGCTCGGTCGCAGGGCATACCAGTTGCACTGGTATTGATTCAAGCCGGTGGAAAGGCATGCCCTCTCAGCTCTAATTGGAGATCTGCACCGTCTAGTGCGAAGCTCAGTCGATCAAGATACCATGCTCGCACACGTTCGCTTTTCCTTGCATGTTTCGACGCCCTGAGTCGCCCCCTGAACATGCACAACACCGAATTAGTATCAGTCAGTCGAGAAGAGTCGAAGCAGGAGCATGCGGAAATCGAAGCCGCCTGGCACGCAAATAAATCGGCCGAGAAGCTGCAGCAAAGTGTGGAAAGCAAGTGGCGCCTGTTCTCTTCGAGACGACTCCGCTTAGATCACAGCGAGACCGATATGCATCGAAGTCGCCTTTCTGTGCTCGGAGCTCGGTCTTTCATTCAGGAAGTCATCTTCAGCTGTTGTGCTTGCCTTCTTCATTGTCGCTCAGCTTCGGCTTCGGGTGCCTGACTGAGGCACCGCAAGCTCACTCATATATAGCAGCACCTCGGATCGCAAAGCTGCTGAGACATCGGAGCCTCGCTGCATCCGGACAAAGTCAGAAGCCTTTGTCAACAGGCGGTTCCCTACACCATGTCCTTGTCGAAACTGTCCACGTGGCAGGGCTCATTGCAGAACTAATGCGAGGCTCAAAGTGCCAAACCTGCTTGCCCCCAAGGTTTCCAAGAGGCTCAGGGACAAAAGCGCGGAGTCTGAGATGCTTGACGGTGTGTGTGTGTGTGAGAGAGAGAGAGAGAGAGAGAGAGCCATACATCGTTCATTCGCCGCGAGCCATATGCCGGCAAGTGTATTCTCTTGTTCGGAATGCATGCGACAGCACGCACTCGGTATGGGCTGCACCCACCTGTACTCTCGACATCGTGCCAAGGGGCATAGTTGCGAGGCCAAAGCTGAAGACCGAGCGTGCCCTCCCTGTCTCCTTGAGGTCAGGAGGCACCCAAACGGACTTGCCCACCAAACAGCAGCAGGCTTTCTTCTGCTGATGTAGCATTTATATTGTTTGGAACCCTGCTAATGCCAAATTCTGCCAGGAACAGAGCCTCTGCGTCAGCCATGAGAGTGTCGTCTCGGTCGGCGTCGTCGGCCTCCGGCGTCAGAAAACATGCCAACGGCGTATGGCATCCCAACGTCTTCGGGGTGCAGAACTGGACACCATCGGTGCGAATGCTCTCAGTGTACTAGGCCCTACAGTAGCTGCCTGACCCAATGCCGGTTTCTGGTTACTGCAACCATGCCAAAAGTGCCAGCTTTCCTTTGGCGGTGCATCGCAGGACACTCAAAAATTCCAGAGGTTCTAGCCCGGCTAGCAGTTGCCGTTTCCAGAGTTCTTCCGACGTGTGTCGGGAAGGTCGCCATGCCAGCTTTTCCTTCCAATGCGCAGTCTGTTCGAGGGAACAGGCACCTGAAAAAGACCGGGGAACGTCGCCGAACCCTGATTGCGTGGCGATCGACAGCAGCGCTTGCACAATGGTGCAAGCCCTCGCATTCAACGTATTCTTGGGAGCGATTGAAGCCAGTGTCGGTGAAGCCATGAAATGTATGAATCGCCACTGCCAGCACGACTTAGGAGAAAGAGGTGCGCAGTCGGTGCAAACCACCGACGCGGGTATCCCAACCGCACGCTGCACGCTCTAGATCCCGGGCGGGAAAGCATAAATTGCTGCACTGGCATTGTTGCTGCTATTACGAAGCATAAGCGACACTTCACACTGTGCTGACGTTAGCTGCACAAGGCCCTGTCGAATTCTTTTTCGGTAATGTGAAGCTGGGCACCAGCGCAGGTCAACTCTCAAGAATCTCTGCTTGTTGCAGGAGTTGCACGATTGCAAGACCAATCGCAGAGCACCGGCGACACATCACCAGCACCAGGTCACCCACATGAAGGCGATTGCACAGCAGAAAGCGCTATCCATGTTGCAATCCACAGTTACCGCACCCCGAACTCAGAGACTGCTGCTGCGAGTACCCGGAGAATCTTCAAGCCAGTTTCATGCAGGAGAATGCATTCACGCCTGCCCGGTGCATGCGGATTCGTCCACGGCCGCATCTGCAGAAACGGTCGATCCAGCTTCAATCCTCGAGCAATCTTGACTGATGCCAGCTGTTCCTGGTCCTGTCACGCTGGAATCAGCCCATTTGCAGAGCAGGCTCTGTCCGTTTTCCTGTGCTTCGGGGATGCTCTGTTCTGCATCGGCCATCTGCGACACAGCGGTTAACATAGTGGCAGCACATGTGCAAGTTCATGTCCATGCTGAGTTCACGGAAGCCTATTCACTTGCGAAGCTTTCTCCTACAGTGCTCAGATGGATGAGCACAAGCAGCGCTAGAATTGCGGCAGAACCCTTCTAGAGTTCTAGGCCGTAGGCACATGAAAGGTGCCAGCCTCGTCTGCTTGCGTGTCTCCCAAGGCCGTCTCTTCGTCCCCGGTCATGACCGCATCGCACACACTCTCGTCAGCCGCCTGGATTGCACAGCAGGACCAGTAGGACGCCAACACGACAGCAGCACGGAACAAGCAGACTCTGCGGCATTGAGTTTGTCATGTTTGACACACAGAGTAGGGCACATACTATGAAGCATGGCTCTGAGAACTCGGCAGTGGCGCACTCCTGCGCTGAGGCTGCCTGTGCCGTGACAGACACCATCGAAAGGCCATTTGTTCCCAATAGCAACCAGCAGCCTTTCTTGGCACTGCCGCCCTATGCTGAACGGCTATCCTCTTTCTGATGCTTGCCCAGAACAACATGAGCCCTCATGTCTACTCGAAGCCTCGGCGTCACCCTCGGCAGCGAGGGTCTGCGAGCCGGCGCCTTCCTCGTGGTCGGCCTCCCAGACTGTCAAAGCACGCGCACGGACAGTCCAAATAGTCTATGCAACCCTCGGTCGTGGTAACGGGTGGGCTTCACTCGCACTGCAGCTGCACTCAAGCAGCTTCCCATGCGCTGTTTCCTGGGATCCGCATCTGCGTAGCAATATGCACTCAAGGGGACCCTACGTTGAGCCGTCACAGTCACGGCACAGAACTGGTGCAGCAACGAAGTGCTTTGCACACATGAAATCACAACTCCCCGAACTTTCTCGTTGCTGCTACCGTCTGTTGTTTCCACGATGCTCTCGTTCGATCTTCTTCTCTTCGATGGCCGTTGCCTCGTCGACGATCTGGTACTCTCCAGTGTCTAGGAGATCGTACAATGCCGTCATGTTCGCCCCCTTCTTCGTCACACCATCCACCACCATTCTGGGATGCCGAACCCATCTAACTTCGCTGTTGATCGCACTCATATTCTGCCGAATCACCTGGATCTACAATCCAATCCTGTTGTCTGCAAAAGGTCCTGCGAACAAAGGCAGTTGTTTTGCCCAATTTGTCACGCCATAGTGATTTCCGTGAGCGTGCAGACCAAAGGACATATAGCCTCCTTGCATGACACTGCGTCGGCCGGGCTTGAACATTGGCGGCATGGACGCTAGCACATGTTCCAACGAGGAACGTCATCTGAGTTGAACTTTCGTCCTCCGACCAGTCGTGCTCCTGATACTGACATCATAATCAAAGGACCGGTGCACCTCTGGATTTTGTTGATCTCGAGGACTAACTCAAGCCCGCAAGAACTTCGCTCGCAGCCGACCGGTATTCTTCATCACCTACTTCACACACCACAGCAAACACCCCGTTTGGCACCTTTTGCCATTCGGCCGCCTCACACGCCAACCGAAGCACGGGCCGGCTGAAGAGTGAGGCATCTGCGCAGCCGCCGGCATATGCCACCTTCAGTGGCTCCGCCACCACCTGTGATAACAGGAAGTAGGCTTCACCCGCACTGCAGCTGCACTCAAGCAGCTTCCCATGCGCTTTTTCCTGCCATCAGCATCTGCGTAACAATATGACAATCTGTACTCAAGGGGCCCCGACGTTGAGCCGTCACAATCACGGCACAGCTGGTGCAGCAACGAAGCGCCCCACACACATGAAATCACATCGGGCGTGTACGGTACCTTCACCGAGCTTTCCCCCCTCTCTCACATCTATTCCGGTCCCCGGGCACGGTTCGCCCTTCCTCGGCTTCGACCCGCGTGGCGGTTCAGTCTGCCAAGATTCATATGTCAGGAAGATAAGTGCAAGAAACTCTGCGAAGAACTACATGCTCGATATGTGAGATCCCAGAAAACGACGTCCGCCATTAGTAGCGTTACTCGCCCGCCAGGTGCTCATGTCACATGGTTGGCAAGCGCGATTTGATGGGATCGGGCTTGGTAAGAAGGACCAGAAGCAGCAGCAGCAGCAGCGAGCATTGAACACCAACGCAAGGAAACACCGGCAGCACTCCATCTGCAATGCAAGCACGCCTGCCCGGTGCATGCAGACTCGTCAACCGCCGCATAAGTAGAAGCGGTAGATTGAGCTTCAATCCTCGAGCAATCTTGACTCATGTCAGCTGTTCCTGGTTTTGTCACGCTGGAATCACCAGCCCATTTGCAGATCAGGCTCTGTCCGCTTTCCTGTGCTTCAGGGATCCTGTGTTCCGCATCGGGGGCTTTCTCCTGCAGTGCTCAAATGGATGAGCACACGCAGCGCTAGAATTGCGGCAGAACCCTTCTAGAGTTCTAGGCCGTAGGAACATGAAAGGTGCCAGCCTCGTCTGCTTGCGTGTCTCCCTCTTCGTCCCCGATCTTGACCGCATCGCACACACTCTCGTCAGCCGCCTGGATTGCACAGCAGGACCAGTAGGACGCCAACACGACAGTAGCACGGAACAAGCAGACTCTGCGGCATTGAGTTTGTCATGTTTGACACACAGAGTAGGGCACATACTATGAAGCATGGCTCTGAGAACTCGGCAGTGGCGCACTCCTGCGCTGAGGCTGCCTGTGCCGTGACAGACACCATCGAAAGGAGATTTGTTCCCAATAGCAACCAGCAGCCTTTCTTGGCACTGCCGCCCTATGCTGAACGGCTATCCTCTTTCTGATGCTTGCCCAGAACAACATGAGCCCTCATGTCTACTCGAAGCCTCGGCGTCACCCTCGGCAGCGAGGGTCTGCGAGCCCGCGCCTTCCTCGTGGTCGGCCTCCCAGACTGTCAAAGCACTCGCACGGACAGTCGAAATAGTCTATGCAACCCCTCGGGCGTGTACGGTACCTTCACCGAGCTTTCCCCCTCTCTCACATCTATTCCGGTCCCCGGGCGCGGTTCGCCCTTCCTCGGCTTCGACCGGCGTGGTGGTTCAGTCTGCCAAGGTTCATATGTCAAGAAGATAAGTGCAAGAAAACTCTGCGAAGAACTCATGCTCGATATGTGAGATCCCAGAAAACGACGTCCGCCATTAGTAGCGTTACTCGCCCGCCAGGTGCTCATGTCACATGGTTGGCAGGCGCGATTTGATGGGATCAGGCTTGGTAAGAAGGACCAGAAGCAGCAGCAGCAGCCAGCATTGAACACCAACGCAAAGAAACGCCGGCAGCACTCCATCTGCAATGTAAGCACGCCTGCCCGGTGCATGCAGACTCGTCCACCGCCGCATCTGTAGAAGCGGTAGATTGAGCTTCAATCCTCGAGCAATCTTGACTCATGTCAGCTGTTCCTGGTCTTGTCACGCTGGAATCACCAGCCCATTTGCAGATCAGGCTCTGTCCGCTTTCCTGTGCTTCAGGGATCCTGTGTTCCGCATCGGGGGCTTTCTCCTGCAGTGCTCAGATGGATGAGCACACGCAGCGCTAGAATTGCGGCAGAACCCTTCTAGAGTTCTAGGCCGTAGGAACATGAAAGGTGCCAGCCTCGTCTGCTTGCGTGTCTCCCTCTTCGTCCCCGGTCATGACCGCATCGCACACACTCTCGTCAGCCGCCTGGATTGCACAGCAGGACCAGTAGGACGCCAACACGACAGTAGCACGGAACAAGCAGACTCTGCGGCATTGAGTTTGTCATGTTTGACACACAGAGTAGGGCACATACTATGAAGCATGGCTCTGAGAACTCGGCAGTGGCGCACTCCTGCGCTGAGGCTGCCTGTGCCGTGACAGACACCATCGAAAGGAGATTTGTTCCCAATAGCAACCAGCAGCCTTTCTTGGCACTGCCGCCCTATGCTGAACGGCTATCCTCTTTCTGATGCTTGCCCAGAACAACATGAGCCCTCATGTCTACTCGAAGCCTCGGCGTCACCCTCGGCAGCGAGGGTCTGCGAGCCGGCGCCTGCCTCGTGGTCGGCCTCCCAGACTGTCAAAGCACGCGCACGGACAGTCCAAATAGTCTATGCAACCCCTCGGGCGTGTACGGTACCTTCACCGAGCTTTCCCCCTCTCTCACATCTATTCCGGTCCCCGGGCGGGGTTCGCCCTTCCTCGGCTTCGACCGGCGTGGTGGTTCAGTCTGCCAAGGTTCATATGTCAAGAAGATAAGTGCAAGAAAACTCTGCGAAGAACTCATGCTCGATATGTGAGATCCCAGAAAACGACGTCCGCCATTAGTAGCGTTACTCGCCCGCCAGGTGCTCATGTCACATGGTTGGTAGGCGCGATTTGATGGGATCGGGCTTGGTAAGAAGGATCAGAAGCAGCAGCAGCAGCAGCAGCAGCCAGCATTGAACACCAACGCAAAGAAACACCGGCAGCACTCCATCTGCAATGTAAGCACGCCTGCCCGGTGCATGCAGACTCGTCCACCGCCGCATCTGTAGAAGTGGTAGATTGAGCTTCAATCCTCGAGCAATCTTGACTCATGTCAGCTGTTCCTGGTCTTGTCACGCTGGAATCACCAGCCCATTTGCAGATCAGGCTCTGTCCGCTTTCCTGTGCTTCAGGGATCCTGTGTTCCGCATCGGGGGCTTTCTCCTGCAGTGCTCAAATGGATGAGCACACGCAGCGCTAGAATTGCGGCAGAACCCTTCTAGAGTTCTAGGCCGTAGGAACATGAAAGGTGCCAGCCTCGTCTGCTTGCGTGTCTCCCTCTTCGTCCCCGGTCATGACCGCATCGCACACACTCTCGTCAGCCGCCTGGATTGCACAGCAGGACCAGTAGGACGCCAACACGACAGTAGCACGGAACAAGCAGACTCTGCGGCATTGAGTTTGTCATGTTTGACACACAGAGTAGGGGCGGCATTGCCACCACTCCTGCGCTGCACCTGCCTGTAACATGATAGACACCATCGAAATGCCGTGTTTCCCCAATAGAAAGCAGCAGGTCTTGGATTGCCGCCCTACGCTGAATGGCCATCCATCGTGCGCGCAACACTGCGCACCCGAAGCCTCTGCGAAACCGTCGGCAGGCGGCCCTTCTGCGCCTTCGGCCTCGCAGAGTTACATCTACACTCGAGGATATTGGCCAAATGCCTAGATCTTCATCCTGCCGTTTCCAGTTTGTGAACTCCACGAGGAACAAAACGGAAGATGCTCGCCCCAACAGTGTTCGTGAGTGCACGCAGAATTCTGACGTGCGCTGACAAGGTGAGTACCCTATAGTACCCTGAGACAAGGTGGATTGCCCGAATCTTCCTCATAATGTATTCTCAATGCCCTCTTTGGCTCCTTGTGGACTGCACCGGCTGTGTAAGCTCAATATTTCAAGTTTGGTTCACCCCGCAGCCAACATTGTTGCTTGGGTTGCAGGCAGGCCCGATTTGGGGCATTCTGCAACTTCGGTTGTGCACGCAAACACCTAAGGATCCAGATCAAAGTCAAGTTATGACATAGATCAAGAAGCGTGCGAGTGATCGAATCCGGCTTGCAATCGAGCCTCCATTTTTGAGATAGTTACAGTTACGTATGTGTTGCCACCCGGTCCCTCCGCCTTGCATGAGCTCGTCTCGTTACATCGGCCACCCCAAAAAACTAAAGCGTAACGCCGTCATGCGTGATGTTCGCATCTTTCGACTGAGCATTGCAGATCGCTCACAACGCGCAGCCTATCATGGAATGCACTGCACTAGCCGGGTTAATTGCACATGCAAACTTGTAATCAACACCCCTTTTTGCAGCCGGGCCTCTATCGCCGGGTACACTGTAAGCAAGCACCCTGAACCTCGAAACCCCTTAATTCACTGAAACTCCATGCGTGCAACACCAGGGGCCCCACAGCATACCTTTCTGCACGATCAGGCAAGATGGAAGCCATATGAATATCACTAGCGTGCAAGAGGGCTTCAGGGAGGCGAAAGAACTGGCCTCCGGATGCAGGCCATTCTGCCGGCCATTAAAAGCGAGGAGGGAAAACCATACGCGGCAACTGCTTCACAAGATGTAGGCTTGGTATGGACAGCACAGTGAAACAGCTTCAGCAGGCACTTGGCCTGCATCTCTGCTCCAAACTCTGCTTCGGCTTCGGTTGCTCTGCGCACTTCTCGGACTTCGATCCTCAAGAGCATGTCCGTCACGTCACTGCAGGAAGTAACTCAGGATCTTTGCCAAGATTGCGAACCAGGAGCCGACAGCTCTCCTCCAAGTCTGCTATCTTTCGCTCCAAGTTCTCCGCCTACATATGAACAGGATTTCTCGGGACGTCGCCACGCAGAACGGCAACGACAGATTCTGACTTATGTTGAGGGTGTTGTTCCGTTGACGGCGCTGCTTGATGGCACTATTATTCCGGTGTTCACTTCATCACTTTATCGGCAACTTCGATCACAGGGAGGGCCGTCACCTGCATGGGCACGGTTCGACACACCGTAGCCGTAGCGAGCCTTCACGGGAACAACTGGTCCTTCCAGGCTCTGATACGCCAGGAGAGCACCCTTGCGCAGCTGCCGGAGCAACTCCATGGTCTCTGCACCTGATAACGACTCAACTTGATGCAAGGGGTGAAGGCCAAGAAGCATGCCTCGCCTGCAGAGCTGGCGTCTTGGTACTCTACCAAGGTCCGTGTCTCTTCCTGGGTTCGGCGACACTTCCGGTACTCCGAAGCAGCGCCCACTCACATTTTGCCAAGCGTCTGCTCGTGCTTGGTCCAAACGACAACGACACGCCTCGGCCGCCGCCTCCAAGGGACATTCGGCGTTTTCGCTTCAGCCTCTGCCCCTAGCCGCCCTGGCCGCCCTGGCCTTGGCCGCCTTGACATCCTCCCCGGATTTCGCCCAAGAAGCAACTGCAGCCTTGGACTCCGCCTCTGCGGCCTGCGTGTCGCGGGATCCCGCCGCGGATCTGCTCTGCCGACTTGAGCTGGCCTGCGCTCTTGCCGTTGCTGCTTCGGTGTTGATCTGGGCATCCTCACTGGTGAGATCCTGTGAGGCTTCGCTCAGATCCATGCCTAAAGGGCTGACGATTGTAGGAGTTTGCAGAAGTCCTTGCCGAGCTTTTCCATGTGTGCCTGCAAAGCCTTCGTGATCAGCTGCGCGGCTGCCTTTTCCAAGAAGGATCTGGTTTCTGCCGGCCTTGGAAGGGCCCCCGTTGGCTACCGCCAAACGTCAAAGAAAGCCGGGCCGGGTCGCCCGGCTTCTGCAGCACAAGCGGCAGTGTGCAGCGCAAGGAATCCTTGCAGGTTCTGGCAACTGCACGACTGTCATGGGACTCTCTTAACACGTCACTCCTCATTAAAACCTCACGATTCCGTCTTGCACCTCTCGCCTTGCCCTATCACAAAACTCGCGGCACGCATGGACTTTGGACACCGTCTGTTGTTCGCCAGTGATTGACGTGCATCATGCCTGACTCGCTGGAAAATCCTTTACTCAGGTTTTTTACTCGTAAATCTCTACTCATAGGATTACTCGCAAAAACAAATTCGTAAACTGTTTTACTCGGGGGTTTTACTCGTAAATTTCTACTCATCGAGGATTACTCGCAAGAAATACTCGCAAACGCGTTTACTCGCGGTTTTTATTCGTAGATTTCTACTCATGGAGGGTTACCCGCAACAAACACTCGCAAACGTGTTTACTCGGGTTTTTACTCGTAAATGTGTACTCAGAGAGGATTACACGCAGAAAAACTCGCAAACGTTTTACTCGTAAAACTTACGGCGGCAATGGGGGGAATGTTTGGGGGATGTTCATGTGGATGTTTGTCCTTAGAAACATCCCATGTACTCTGAACAACCAGGCAGATGCGGGCCATGTCAACACTAACGTTTGGGCCTGCGAACATCAAGACTCGAACTTCCGGCCGGGACAACGTGCGATCAGCCCATACATGTTGAAAGTAATCGGTCTGCCATACAAGAGCCAAGGCACTACATTCATCCCAAGTACTTCCGCAAACGAAATGCTCACATGCTTCAGTGTGCGCAGCACAGGCACGTCTAGTCAGGATGGGAAGTCGTGGAGTTACCCGTGAGCTACTCATTCTCCGCACCTCGAGGCCCAAGTTGTCGCAGATCTTCTGTACCCTGGCAATTTGCTCTGGCTGCATCTGCAACTCTTCCTGGAGCAATGTACCACCGAATCTGTGCAGGCAATGATATAGTTTCTACCGAGCTGATGGCAATTTTGCCAGCACTCTTCTCGAGGCAACTTCCGGCCAACTCGAGTCCTTGACCTCTGCCAGAAGGATTGTCGTCGCTGACCTGTAATCTCCTACACTGACTTAGCTCCGATAGCAGCCGATAGCACAGCTACCGGTACAGTACAGGCCTGCAAAGGTCCAGCTCCATGTGCCCCACCAGAAGCTGGGCCTGAATGCAAAGGCTGTGGAACAACTGCAGCTTTCATCGAACCGAGACTTCCGTTGCCACTTTCGAACTTTCAGATCTGAGAAGTGTCCAGCCTCAGCCGTGCTGCGGGCCGCCTCTGCCTGCCGCTCACGAGAAAAGCACAGGATCGCATCCGAGCATAACTGCAGAGACGCTGCTGGTCACATCGCACCAGCCGATACGTTCTTGCTTGTTGTGATGGCGTTCCGGGAGCCTGTTGATCACTTTGATTGCATGCATGGCCCCAACCTGAACTTGGCGGCACCCGACACGTTCTCCCCATCCGCAGGCACACCCGCCGGCAACATCCCAAACGACCAACTACAAGCTGAAGTTGCTGGAGCTGTTTTGTTGTTTCGTTCGGCTGGAATTTGCAGAGCTGCACAAGCTGCATAATAGATACCTCACAGACTGAGCACACATCAAGCTCATTCGTGTTGCCGTGGAAGTTCGACAACGGCCAGACTGGGCTTCAGGCTTCTCTCGCCCACAAATGACCCGGCTGCTGGGAAACCCGAAGGGCGAGACATCCACGCGTCACAATTCGTGGGACCGAGTCGGACCGAGCAAGTGTTCCTTCGTCGCGATGTCAGGGTCGCGACCAGCTCGCTTGCCCTATGAGCGTGAACCGCTGTTGCACAGTTTGTTGAGGCTTTTTGGAGGAGGGGCGTGCTTACGCTGCGACATGCTGCGGCACTATTCCCCTTATGCGCTGGCTCGCTTGTGACTTCATGCCCAAAGAAACGGTCCACAAACCCACAAACCGCTCTGCCTCTGCAGCTGACTTTTGCATGGCATCGCTCTCGATCCTGGCCGCCTCTTCGGCAGAGAGGCACATGGCCAGTTGCTCCTGGCGATGTGAGCAGCTTGCGAGCAGTTCGACACAATCCACGAAGTTGCTCGGTCCTCGGCACGCTCAACTTCTTTAAGCCTGTACGAGACGGTGCTGGCGGTCTTTTGGCTCTGCCTCGCTGCCAGCAGGACCTGCCACGAAGGTCACACGGGTGTCACATGCCAATCAGCTCCAAATAGGAAGAGCGAAGCCTGTTCTTTTGCTGCGTACTTCTCCTGCAAAAGTCGCTCAAGGAGGCTGACCTCCAAGTCCTTCAGCACCTCCAATGGTTCAGCTACTCGCCGTGCCACACGACCGACTCAAGATAGCTGCATGGCAACGTACCACAATCCAGAACCGGTGTCCTCCCCGATGAAGCTGGAAAGCGCGACCTGTGCAATCATGCCATCACTGTTTTTTGCGACACCCTGTGCCATAAGACCAAAGTGAAGATCATTCCGACCCAGCTGACCCGACGTCTCCTTTGTCTGCTGAGTCTGCTCATGGCTTTTGTCCTATGCCCTGCTGGTGCAAGACAATGGTCACAAGTGCAACATGCAACGCTGCAACACAGGAATCGAAATGTGCAAAGGCTTGCATCGCAAAGCTGGCTGGAAGAGGCTGCTGGCTGCATGCCCCCAAGACACGTTAGAGGCAGGGCAGATTTCGGAGTAGAGGACCCGGACCCTCCGCGTTCGAGGCGAAGGCCTGACGCTTGTCGCGATCTCCTGGCAGCACCTGACAACTGGGCGGGCCGCACCATGCAGAACAGCTTTCTCACGACGCAGTCACAGCCGCGGCACGCCCAGCGCCAGAGGCACTGCTGATATCAGCATTGCTCGACAAGCCTGCGGAATCTGCTCTGCCTGATCCACACGGCAGAGTGATTGAAAAGATGGCATCCATCGGCCCTGAGCCTATCCCCAAGATATGTTCAAGTCCACCTCTAGATAAGAGAACGGCCTTGGAAATGACTTGGGCCACCGTGGCGCAGCGCTGAGCCGTTGCATCTGAAACATCTGAGCCTTTCAGCCGCTTCGGCTTCGGCTGATTGCCTTGTCGGCACCTCCCCAGACCAAGTGCAGCAAATTTCAAGCGGCTGTCTGCCAACCTCTTGCTGGGCGCCATGCTCTGCTGCTATGTCAAGAAAACGTCGCAGTGAAATAGATTGAGCTTTGATAACGTGCTTTGGTCTGGCATGGCTAGTTCGATTTTCCTTGCAATCTAAACTTGCCGATATCCGTGCAAAGCTTCTGTGCACAAGGCTGCCGGCATGTGAATGCTTCTAGCCTGCACGTAATGGGCGAGTGCGAGTGTGACGCCACAGAACACGAGAAGCAAATGCGGAAGCTTCACCTTTTCCTGCGAAACTTGTGGAGAGCTGCCGGTTTGAAACGTACCTCTCCCGGCTATGCTCTTTGCACAGCCATGGCTATAGGTCTGCACGACTTGGGAACTTGTCCTGGCCGCAACCCCGGCTCTCGATATCGAAACTTAAGGCTGTTAAGGTCTCTCCAGATCGCACCGATCAGCTCCATGTCACGGCCTGACAGCTTCTGCGAAGCAATCAAGCTCGTGGCAGGAATCGTGGGATTGCCGAGGCCCTTGGCATCTCCGAGTGGAATTCCATCCGGAGTTCGGGGTGGGGCGTTACAGCGCGTTATCGCGTTCTTTCTGGTCGGGTCTTGCCGTGAAGTCGCAGCTCCTCGAAATCAAGCCTTTCTTACCGTGAAGTCGCAGCTCCTCGAAATCAAGCCTTCCCGAAACCAAGCTCCCTCGCCTTCGGCTAGGCTTGGCCTCACAACTCCTACTGTACCATGACCCATGGATTAACAAATGTGCAGTAAAGGAGCAATCGATTCGCGAGCCCTGCTTTCCCCGATAGAGGTCGTGCTTTGCAATTACCCGATTTCAATCCGAGGCTACATCGATGTTTTTGGATTCAGCGCTTGTTATCAGGGCAATCGAGCCGGCGGGCTTGGATTACGATCCATGACTTGCTTTTATCTGCGCAATCCTCGGAAGTGAACCCGTTCCGTTCCCCTCTGAGTGAGTGTGGATTTTTGGGTGTTTGCTCCGCTCTGTGGGCCTTGCCCTCGGTGGTGGCATCACCACTGGAGCGACCTGGGCCCCGGCACACACTTCAGACCTCGCGCTTGCTTGCTTAAATGGCCGCTGGCCCTGGTGTTGCTTGTCATCGACCGAATGGCAGCCTCTATCCCCTCTAGAGGGTGGCAGCCCAATCCAACTGCGCAAGTGAGCCAGCTGCGGGTGGTGCACCCCAGACCATGGGAGGCGCCGCCATGGGCACGGGAGCAGAAGGCCTCCGACGAATCTCCGCATGCGACCCTTCTGTCAGAAGGCCAGCTGAGGTGAAGGCCAGGAGACTGGCGGCGACATTCCGGGAACCTAACGAGAAGATGCTGTCAGGATGCAACATGTACAGAGCACAAAAGACATTCGCTTTGGGGGCAGTGACTCATTTCGAGAACGTTTGCGCGCATCCGCGGCCGCTTCCCAACTGCATGAGCGACCCCACCGTCGTTCTGTTTGGTTTAGAGTTTGTGTCGAGCAGTCTCGTCAGGAGCTAACACACTGCCTCGGTCGCTCACGTTTGCTTTTTGTGTGCTGCTGACTGCTGTCGCTCGTGGTTGCTTCGCATCGGATTTCTTAAGGGGTTCCTTAATGGAGCCTTTGAAGGCGCCCTAAGCCCTACGACTCCTTAAAGGATCCCAACAATTGGCCCTACGGTTAGCGAAAGGATTCCTTAATGGATCGCTTAGAGAACCCTTCAAGGAGCCCTCAATTTCTAAGGTTCTCAAAGCCCTACGGTTCCTAAAAGGATCCCTCAAGTAAACAGACAGGGAATGGAACCCTGAAAGCCGCCGTTGAAGGACACGGCAGGGGTCGCCACTTCCAAGGCAGCCAAAGATATCGTCCTTTTTTGTGTGCGGCACCTGCACCCTCGGAAACACTCAAAACCACCGCGCACCCCCCAGCTGATGCTCATGATGCGCGCCGTCCTGATGCCCAAGGCGATCCCGAACATCCACACAACCCAAGACCACGGCAAAGGCAGAAGTCGAGGCAAGCAAACTCCAGTGGTGCACACCGGGCGGACCAACGAGCTGACCCCAGATCAAAACAGACGTCCGAAAACCTTCCCTGCCCTAGCATGTTGATTGCTATCATATGAAGGACATGTCAAGACGGTCAAACCACAGCGTAACGGCCGTAGATCTAAAGCTCTCTTTCTTCCTTGTTTGCAAGTGGTTAAGCCTCCTGCTGGGGCTGTTAACAGGGAGCCAAAGCTATTTCTACGGAGCCTTCCGCCTGAGCTTATTCGAGCCCGGGCCACATCGCACCTGGCTTTCCTATGTACGATTGTCATGTCCAGAAGTCGTGGGAAGGGAATAGTTGCTTTAATGCGCAGCGTATGGTTTTGAAATGGTTTGGCGAATCCGTGAGCTTATGCGTTGCTTTTTGATTGCTTGTGGTTTATGCTTTTGGCTTATGATGTGTTTATCGGCATTTTGGAGAATATGTACACGATTGGGCATGGCTTTGGATACCTCTCCAACCTCCTCCAGGACTGGTTTGCTATGCTTTTGTTATGCTTGTGGATGTGGTTTCCGAACTTTGCAGCCAAAATAAGACCTTAAGTGTCTCTCGTGCTCCGCTTAAGCTGACCGAGGAAACACGTAAAAGAAGGTTGAGGGATAGACAGATAGACAAGCTCAGACTGTGGACGCATTGGCTCGTTTCGACAAGGCGCAAACCCGGGTGCAGCTGGCAGATGCATGCAGGCGATGTCAATCTGTCCCTTCAGTTGGGCTGAGCGGCCATCGCTAACAGAGGAACAGCCGCTTGCACGTTCACCACAGCCGCATCACGGAGTCACAGTCTCAACTCTCACAGATGCACCGAGCCACAAGCAAAACGACTGATCGCTGTATTCTGGCCAGGTCGAGTAGCATCATCAGAGAATGCCTTCGCATCTCTCTGACGACCGTCGACCGAATCGTCCGGAATGCAAGTGTGCTTCTGGGCGCAGATGTGCGAATGCTCGTGAAAGCGAGCACTCGACCTAGGATGTCTCGACCAACGATGCGCGCAAACGGAAACCTGCTCCACCGCCGTCCCCCCCACTTACTTCATACACCTGTTCCGCTTGGGTGCTTCATTGCTTCTGCACGCATTCTGAATTCGGTTCTTCTGTCTGCAATATTGGACCATAGATGGCAGCGCGCGCGCTGACTGTTCAGGACGGCCAAAGAAGCCGGTCAGGCGGTGCAGCCCCGTCTCAGGCCGGGGCGGCCCATGCCGGTGGTGGACGGTAGCCAGGCGCCGGGACTGGCAAAGCCTTGAGTGAAATCCCTCCTGCACCTCAGTCCTTAAAAGCCTGAGCCTCAGAACTCTACCGCTCTACTGGGACAGGCGCCGTCCGTGGCGGCGGAGGCCAGGGCCTCAAACCGGGCCGCACCTGGCAGGCATGGCAGGCCAATCAAGAAAGCGTGGGGCTTTTTTCCCTTCAAAGGGTGCCGGTCTGCAAGGCATGCCGAGTGCACCATGTGGGACAGGCTCGCCCCCGGCGCCTGCAACTCAAATCTCAAGGCAGTGACCAATCTGCGAAGGACGGAACTGGAGAGGCCAGCGGCCGGCTACAGCACATCGATCACGACAACAGCCTTGGTCCAACCGTGTCCGGGAGACCGCGAGGGACCTACAAGCAGCCAGCAATCACGCGGGTGAGGGTAAAGCTGGCTTGCGTCTTGCATGTTTCTCGCTCTCTTGCGCCTCTTTCGCCTGATCGACGGCGCCGGCGCCGTCGCCTTGAGTGCGAGCCTGAGCATCATGAACGGAGCTGCGTTTTCATCCCTCTGCCCGCCCTGTACAATTATCACACATCACCAACATTCGCCTCTTCGCCGTCGGCGGCTGTGCCTGCAGAACATCTTGAAATGTGCTTTTGAGCCATACGAGAGGCCAAAGCACAAGCACAGGGCACACCTGGATCCGCTACTTCGTTTGCTCCGGCTCCGCCGGCTCCGGCTCCGGCTGGCTTTCTTGGCCTAAAAGATGCAAGGAGCGTCGACGCGTGAGACTCGAGCCCCACTTGCAACCCATCCCCGCCTCTTTCGGGGGCGGCGTCTCTGTTGCCCTTTTGTCTGCCCCTGTCGAGACTGGCAGCAGCGAAAATCATGATAATTTCTTTTGAGCCTTTAGCCGTGGTGTCAGGCAAGGAGGAAGAAGACCTCACACGCATGCTCATGCGCATTGCCACTAGATTGGCCTGAGTTGACCATGCATGGAGCCTGGGAGCTTAAAAGCTGGCCTAGTCTGAACTCTGAGGAGCTGTCGACTCAGAGCTCTCCATGCTCGCCTGGCGGCTGCATCTGTCAAGTCGACTGGCTCGGGCCTCTCAGCTCCTGGGTCGGCGGGGCAGCGCTGTTCCCAGCCTGAGGCGGGCAGGGCCAGGCAGACCCCGTGTCGGACGTTCGACACTTCTTGAGGCGCCTCCATGGCCGCTTGCCTTGAGCATGTGCGGCATGGGTTGGAAATTGGAAACTCCACATACAGCGCTCGGTGCAGCATGAACAGCCCGAGCTCCAGGCGCAGTGCCTTCCCCTGAGGAGGAAGAAGAGGAGTCCTTGGAAGAGCCCGAAGTGCTTGCAAACGTGAAGCCGGTTGCGGTGGCCTCCGCTGGCAGCTGCGCCTTGACAGCTTGCAAAGGCTTGCCATCCGAAACGCTGGGCTTTGACCCGCCTTAGGCGCTGCATGACCTTGGTGTGAGTTACGACTCCAAGGGACAGAGACGCCGTGGACTTTGTTCGAGTTCTGTTCTGTGCTCAGGTCCCCTGCTGAAGGAGGAGCTCGAAGAGGAGGCCTTGCATTTCACAGCTGACGCGCTGCGAGGGCTGGGAGACGGGCACTGCTGGACGGCGGTCGGTGCCTGTGGCTCCATCGCCTTCAGCGACCTGGTGCGTCACTGTTGTGCATCTGCATCAGCGAAATCAAGGGTGTGTTCTGGAACTGTGATCCCCCGCTGGATCTTTTGCACTGCCAGCTCCCGCAAAGCACCTGCATCGCACTGCACATTTAATTTGCTCCAGTCCGCAGAAAGACTGCTAGGCCCTGCAGGCCTGCCGAGAGTCTTGCTGCCGCGGCCGGAGCATGGTTATCAGCCGCGCCTTGAGGCGAGGCATTTCAGAAAGCTTCACGAATGCAAGCTTTGCGGCTCCGATCAAGGTGTGTCACGTGTCTAGCAATACTACCTGTGGCCTCGGCTGTTGTTGACTTCTCTCGGCCTCTCCTGTGTCGTGCTGGGCCAATCGCCGCTTCCGCGAAACTGCTGCAGTTCTCCATATTACAACAGGCGATCGTGCAGACTCATGAACCTGCGGATTTGCAGGGCGAAACTGAGAGTATATGGCCCTGAATAGCCGTCTGGATCGGCTGCTGCTCGACATGATGCATTCTCCTCTTCGTCTTCGTCCTCCTCCTCTTCCTCCGCCTGGGTCGAGCAGGGCGTCGTAACCGATAGGGTTCCCGCTAGCATCATGTACAACTGGGACCTCTTCTTGGTCCGACTCTTCCACTTCAATCTCATTGTTCACCGACAGCCCACGCTTCGTGCCTGCGGTGAAGAAGATGTTGGAAGCAGACACACGGCAAAAAAAGTTTTGACAGCAGGGGTACACCTTCAGTTCAAAGACCTTCACAACCCGGCAGCCCTCCCCTCCCTTGCACTCGGCTCTCCAAGCCTCGTCTTTGTCTTTGGACTTCGCCGCTTTCCTTGACACATCGCAAACAAAGCCATCCATGGACTCGCACGGCACCTCGTCTTCCTCATCCGAAGCCTCTTCCTTAGCGTTTCGGAAGACTTTCCCGCCAATCTTTCTCGTGCGGCTGGGGCCCAGGCATCTTCGGCTTCGGAAGCTTCCTTCTCCTGCTAGATTCGTAGCCAGGGCACGGCATGTTGTTTGCTGCTTCGGTCTGGCGCCATGCGTGTCACCGTCTCTGCCTCTTCCTCCTCATCCTGAACACACCCACCCGATCTCGTTATCTTGCCCTTCGTCTGCTGCCTTCTTAAAAACACGGGCCAACCTCGATCTCGATGCGAGTCAGCTTCGCATGAGGCTTGTGGGTCTTCTCCTTTTCTGCTGCCTGCCACAGATCAAAAAACCCTAAGATGCAGCATATCAAGGGTTGACGCCCTGCACACAAGATGCCCAGAAGGTGTGATGGTGCCGTCTAGTTTTTGGCCTCGACGAACTCTCTAGGCCTTGCAATGGCTGGCAGGCTGCACTTCGAACGCATGCAAATTAAACAAACAATAAACTCGCAAAAGGGCCTCAGGACGGCTTTCTTTCGTTTGGCCGGTTCTTTGGCCCCATTGACGGACCTCGGCAATGGCCCCAGTGGCGCCGGCAGTGCTTGAGCAGGCTATGTCCCGGGCCACGGCTGGCTTCTCGGATGTTGCTTGGTTTGCTGGCTGCTTGCAGCCTTCAGCCCAGTTATCACATACATACACAAATCCGTTCATGCAAGCATCCAGACATAAGTCCACACACACATCCATCCACAATGTGAAAGTACAACGTTCCAGGATGCGCAACAAACTACCCTGAAGTAGCAGCTATGCAAGCTCACTCAATTGTGATGCAAAGCAACACTGAAGTTCTGCAAGCGCCTTTCTCACAGCTCAGCAAAGTGAGTCTTGAGCCACGGAGTGGCAAGAGTGGCACATATTTTCACACGCCTCCTTGAAACACAAAATGTACACGCGTGTGCGTTCATACTACAGTAGAAAGTAGAAGCTCAACATAAACGTTGGCTTCAGGGTGGCTTCGGACAAGTTTTGCGTCTTTGCGGTGTCTGGAAGTAACGTACCTACTCTCTACGGTACAAAAGTTTCAAAACCTGAGAAGAACTGCCAAAAGCCCGTCAAAGTGCAGCTACCTCGTTGTGTCCAGAAAAGTTTGCCGTATAGTTGGCACAGTAAAGTGCAGCAAGGTGCCATGTATAAAAGCCCAACCATTCCAATGGCGAAACGTGGCTTGCAGAAAAGTGCATCTTCACCTCAAAGGTCGCCATGAAAAATTCCAGGTACCGCCGATTCCAGACAGCAAAGTAGTTCAAACATACACAAAGTAGCTCAAGGGGGGTCGAAAACCAAAGGTGCAAAGTCGGCCCACCGATTGGTGCCGAATGTTGCCTGTCAGCTGTATCGAAAGTCCAAAACTGAAAAATAGCAAAACCGAGCCCTGACTGAAACTGAAGTTAAAGTGGGACACACCCCAGAAAGCATCAGCTCCAGAAAAGCTCAAAGTTTGCCCTGAAAGTAGAACCTGCATCTTCTGATTGAACATTGCCAAGTTGCACAAAGGCAATAACTGGCCAATGTCACCGGCATTACAGTCACTGGCACGCCCAGAAGGAAGTTGTCAAACAACCATTGGAAAGTTGTCTGTGCTATCTAAAGTAGTTCCACAGGCGTGTAGACGCCTGGGTGTTCTCTTCCTGGGTAACGTGCCTGAAGCAGGCTCTCTGGCGTGGGTCGGTCCTGAAAGTTAAGACCCAACGGGTGTAAAGTACCCGCCTGCCACACCTGTTCAACTTGGCGACCCACCGACAAAAGCTGCGTGAAGTCCGCGGGATAGATGTAAATGTTGATATCTGTTATTGTCTATTGTAGGTTGCAGTTTCTGCGACAAGTCTCTGGTTCCTGCCAAGTACTTCAAAAGATGCTTCACCTTAGCTTCGCGTTCAGTCGCGGGAGCACAAAATCCTGGACTCAGCTCCTTGACAGCATACATGATGTCAGGGCGCACACTCGAAAGCCACAAAAGTTGGCCAACAGCGCGCCGGCAGCGCTTGTGATCCTCAGAGCACAAAGGTTCAGTCGAGCTGCTTTCTCAAAGCATCCGTTCCTGCCGGGCGGCACTGTTTCTCGGGCTCATTCCTACAGAGATGAAAGTGCGTGTGCGCTTGACGAACTCTCACCTTCATCCAAAATACCTGTCACCTTAAGCAGCAAGGCCTTCTGAAGATCCTGGATCAAAGTCGGAGCATTACCCTGCGAACCAAAGAACATCAAATCATCCATATAGGCCAGGACGTACATTAAGTTGCTTGCTGCCATGCACATTAAGGTCAGGGTCCAGTATGCAAAGTGCTGTTGCCAAAGCTTCGGGCTGTGCTCGAGCCGCCTTTTTGAGCTTGAACAAAGTCCGTCCTTCGGGATAACACTCAAGTATATACTCAAGTGGGGGAATGACGCAAAAGTCCCCATCTACCAAAGCGTGAAGAAAAGCCATTGACATGTCTCCGATGGAAAGGCGCGATCCCTTCGCTACAGCCAAAATCAGCAACAACCGAAGCGTGGGTAAGGAAGGCGTAGAAGCGAAAGCTTCATCCTTATCTTCTACCTGCTGGGCGTAGCCTCTGCGTGCGATCCTACAGCGCACAATGCCATCCGGCTTGCGCACTTTGACTTTAACCCACTTCGTGGAAACTGCCGGGTCCATTGTCTACCGAGACCTCATCGAAAACGTCAAAGTCTCGCATAGACTTCATCTCCTTAGTCATGCCAGCAGCTTCCCCATCGTGCGGAAACTTCGTATCATATCGCACGTGCGGATTCTCAAGTGTCTTCATCAACACAAGCTCTCTCTCATCTTGATGCACGGCAACTGGCACTTCCAAGTCCTGCTTCGACAGCAGCGACACGAAAGTCACACACACAGACACACACGAAACCGATTCTTGGTTTTGGCAAAAGTCATGCTGGCCAGTCTCTGCACCTTGGAGGTACCGACAGGCAAGGTCTCCAAGGTCCGTTTGGTCGGAGAAGAAGCAGTCGCCTCCTCAAGTCGAGGCCTTCTAGCTGCTGGCTGCGGCAAAGCTGCTTCAGTTGAAGACCGTGATTGGCCTGTACCTGCTGGTCCAAAGTGACGTACGGAGGCTCAAACTTTTTATCAACGTCTGGCGCAGTCGCCACGGACTCCATGTCCCAAAGGTCATCTCTCGGTGGAACAGCCTCTGGCTCAACGCCGCAAAGTCGTCACCAAGCAAATCTTCAACTTCTTGCAAGTCACCAGGTGCAAGTGGCTCCGTCGACGGCTGCTGCTCTTGGTCAAAGTTCGAAGGGTCTAGCTCCGTCGCCTCCTCGGGCCACTTGGCTTGAGGAAGGACAAAAGTGAGTTCTTGCTGTGGGGCCTGCTGCTGCTGCTGTTGCTGTACGAGTCTAGCAGGCCCAGGTTGAAGCAAACGTGACTGTTTAGGAACGATTTTACGTCCTGTGGGCTTGGAGGAAAGCGGCAAAAACACTCTTGCCAACAAAGCGTTCGGGGGCAGGTCCTTTAGGATTCTGTGCCTTACACCAGTTAGTCTCTTGTCTGCCATCAGCGTACTCAAAGTAAGTTGCGCGGCGCGTTCATCTGCAAGGTCTTTCAAGTCTATAGGGCGATCCTTAGCCCCGTCGGGAGAAAAGAAAGTAGCTCTCGCTCTTTTGCATTTTGCATTCACCAACGTGATACTGAACTAAACGTCGATACACTGGGACCACGATGGTACCTTGTGCACTGCCGTTGTAAGAAGTCCTGCTCACTACCTCAACCTCTTCCTTGTTGAAAGGTGCCAAAGTGGACCTCAAGAAAAGAAGCGAACCATGCCTCGAGATAGGCACCTTGTGTCCATCTGGAGTTTCCAAAGTGTTCGGTTTGTTAGAAGAAACGTTCACATCAAATCCTGACCTCAAAAGTCTGCCAACAGACGCCACGCAGTAGGGAACGTCGCAGACGTAAAACTGCTGGAAGCACTGCTGGCCCTCAAAGTCAACCTTCACAAGTCTACGTCCAAAGACCGTCAAAGGCTGACCCGAGATACTCCTCAAAATTTGAGCCTTCCCTGTAAGTGGCAAAAGCTGCCATTCATAAGCAAAGTCCTTCGGACAACAGTGAGTAGCAGCACCTGAGTCGAAAAGTATCAAGGGCTCCGGATCCTCCAAAGTCGATGCTATGAAATGCTCTTCCAAAGCAACATGCTTGAGAATCGTACCCAAGCTCCTAAGTCCAAGATCACCAACACTGAAAAGTCGTTGGTTCTCATCCACACGACCATTCAAGGAGAAAGTCTCAAATCGGGACATGTAGGCCGTTGGTTCAAAGTTCTCACACTCACTGAAACCACCCAAGTTGAAGTCTAAACTCCATTCGTCACCCCAGCAACTCTGAAAGTGTTCCGCAAACCAAAGTTGCCGAGAACAACAGCCGACATGAGCAAAGTGCTCGGGCTAATGTTCGCTTTGGCTTTCGGCTATGCTTTGGGGACTGAAAAGCCTGGTGCTCCTTCCACTGTCACAGCTAACACGGGCAAAGTTGGCACTGGACGAAGAAGCCTCTTCCTTAGGCTTCGCCAAAGTTTCGGCCTTCGCCGAAGGAGCGGCCAAACGTCCGAAGTAAAGTCCGGAGACCGACCCCAAGGATCCAGCGAAGCATCCCAGGACCAAGTGTCCCAAGACCAAAGTTGATCATCCCAAGTCTGATCCCCACCGTTTGGGTCGTTGTAAAGGTCTGATACCGCGTTGATCGCCCACTCGGTCCAATCAGCCCAATCGTCTTCACCAAAGTGAGTCCAATCTCCTATATCGTCAGGTGGGTAAAGTTCCTCTCCTTCTGCCGCTGACGCAATGTCTTACCACACGACCAGCAAATCGAAGTAGAGCTAGAAGTTGGTTTTCCTTTTCCTTGTCCTTGCATAAAATTCCAAAGCTGCTTTCCTTTTCCTGATGACTTCGAAAAACCCTTTCCTTTTCCTTTCTTTCCTTTTCCTTTACCTTTCCGAAAGGCTGCTGCTAAAGCAGTAATGTCCATGGGGGCCGAGGCCCCGCCTTGGAAAGTTGCGTTTGCCGAAGTCTGTGCAACTGGGTTCATCAAAAGTCTTGCTCTGTGGTAAGCAAGGATAACCTCGCGCATCTGTGCACATGTTGGCACAATTCGAGCATTCAACCTCAAGTGTTGTTACGGAGCTCCTGTTGTCTTGTTCAGCAAAGTTTCCACAAGTACACCATCCGGCGAAGGTTGTCCTGACTGTCGCTCGTGCCTTGTCCTAATTGTTTCCCACACGTTAAAGTCTTGCTCAAAGGTTGCTGGGTTGAATTGAGGTCCAGGAGCTGTGTCAAAAGTGATGTGTTCCGGGTAGCTCCTGGCAGCGAGAACTTCTTGTGAAGTCTCTCCAAATCTCAAAGCCATTGCTGTCCTCGTTTTGTCGAACCAGAAGTTTCGCTGAATCTTTCACAAGTTGCGAAATAAGGTAATGTAACTTCCGGGAGAGAAAACTATTCGATTCGCGGTCTGTTTTGCATGAACATCACCGGTGTCCAACGTCACCTGCAGATGTTCATCGAAAAATTCATGGACCCGAAACTCGGCTCGACCGATCAAAGTTCCAGCAACAGTTTCGAACATCGAAATGCAAGCCTTAAAGTTCCATGACCATGTCTCTCAGTCGGCTGGATTGTCGCTGAAAGTCTCAGGCTGGTCTCAGGCAACGGAAACCGAAGCTTTCCTGCAAAGTCGCCTTCACCTCCTATCGCCATATTCTGCTATCCAAAGTTCCTTGGAGCTTTCAGCTCCGCTGCAATGCGAAACTCCAACGTCCCAGGATGCACAACAAACCACCCTAAAGCAGCAGCTATGCCAGCTCACTCAACTGTGACGCAAAGTAACCCTGAAGTTCTGCAAGCGCCTTTCTCACAGCTCAGCAGAGTGAGTCTTTTGGCTCCGGAGTGGCAGTGGGAGAAAGTCTGGGAGGTCTCTATGTGGATATATTTTCAAACACACGGACATGCACACTTACATGCATACATACATACATACATAGATTCATACACATGCACGCTCACAAACAAGTCGTCATCTACTTTTTCCGAGCCTCTGCAACGAACATCGACATGTGCAAGCTCTCAGGGCAATCGCCGCCTTCTTGTTGCTACCGACGTGCCGCCTTGAGAGCAGGGTCTGGACCTTGATTGCACATGAGAACATGTTCGCTGCATTGTGTTTGCTGTCGGCTCAGCCTTCTCCAGTGCTTCCTCTGCCCCCTGCTGACGCAGAGTCTGCGTCACCTGACGACAACAGACTGCAGGAGGGCCAAGAGCTGACAAGTTGAGAACCAGACTGTCAATCTTTCCTCCTGGGTCAGAGCCTGGACAGCAGAAGTCCAGCCCTGCAAAGCTGCAGCCCTGAACCCGCGTCCGCTCTGAAGTCCTCCCACTCCTTGGCTGCAAGGCCAAGCCGCCGAGGCCTCAGAGCGGCAGTGACGATTGCACAAAGCATGAAGAGCTGAGAGCCTGAGCCGCGTGAGCTGTGGACGTTGGCGGCAGCAGCCGTGGGGCCATTACGCTTGCCCATTATTCATTATCATAGCTATCGCAGCTGACATGGATGATTGTCGAGACGGACTGCTAGCAAGCATCGCCACCACCGCATGAACTCTCTGCCTGGGTGCAAGTGCTGGCCTACGTTCGGCCCACCGTCACAAAGCCATGTTGTTCTCATCGACAGCATCAGAATACCTTCTGCTTGAGCAATCGGCAATTTGCAGTCTCACCTTTTGCTCGCAGCCAATGCTGCTAGAATGCTTCGGGTCCTCCGGTGAGCATCACATGATAGGGTGCGAATGCTCTACCAGTTTCACTCTCACAGTGCAGGCACGTATTTACGCGAGACGTCCAATCACAATAGGCTGACTACGGCACGTGAAGTAGCCCACAACCAAAGAAAGCAAGAACCGTGCCAGGAAACAGGTCAGCAGATGAGCTCACTTCAGAACAACTCGCATCGAGGCCTAAAGGTCTAAATTTACAAGACACCTCTGCAAACTAACCCGGCTACACATGCTCCTAGTCTGTCGCCTGCCCGTTAGTAACCCCACACATGCAGAACCACACAAGCCATTAATAATGCATAGCTACACCGCCTTAGGAACGGAGGCCAGCCGATCAACAGGGTCAGCTCATTAGCTGACGAGTTCCTGTTTCAAACTTACCCTCCTCTTGCTCTCATCGATCACATTCGCAAATGGCTCATGGTTGTGCTGTGTGTAGAACATTTCCGCTCGCATGATGCTGCAACGTCAACTCAAGGCTCATCCTTGGTCCAGCACTCGCCCAAGGGAAATCATGCAAGCAGCAGAGCTGTCGTTACATGTGCAATCCTCTTGCATGGCAGCCACTGAAACACATTCAGAAATTGTCCAAAGAACACTGCAATCAATACGTACCCACCATCACATGTGCGAAATCCGGCAGCAAAGGATCGCTCTTTACTGTAAAGCCAGGCTGCAAGCGGAGCCTGAGCCCGACCATGGCATCAGCGGCCGCATTGGTTTGGAGTGGAAGCTACAGTGCTTCATAGAGTATGAACCATGGACTAGGGACCGCGCAGAAAGCCGGAGAAGACGCAACGAGAGAGAAGGGCGACCTCACGGCATAACTTATCCCATCATTCTGCGAAATGGCGAAGCCAATGAACCTAAAGTTGCTCTGAGCAACAAAGTACACATCATCGAACACAACATCGACCTGGGCTCTAGCTCAACCTTTCCAACGCGAGCTGCAATGCCGAAATCTCCCTGTCGAACTACCCCGAAGTTGCTGAAACACACCCCGCCCTCCTCACCATGCGACACTGAAATTGTGCAACGGGATAGCACGTTTGGTGCGGCATGCTTTCGCACGTTACATGTAGGTAGGTGCTTGTATGTTACGGTGCTGGTCCGTCCGCTCAGGTCCAAATCATCTGTCGCCCTATCGAAGATAGGACCAATGCATGCGAGAGTCAAAAGTATAAGAGTATGCATTTGTGCACCATCGAAGGCTAGATGTGCGTGGACTGCAACATCCGCCGTGCAGACTACAGAGAAACGTCAAAGATTCAAGCGAGCGCGGCTAGCGGTCCATTGTGGCTTGGTGCGAAACCGACGAATGCGGTAAACGAGTCGGTTCTGAGCACTCTGACACCGCACCAAGTGAAACTAGCCCCATCACACTTTGTGTGCTAATTACTTGCCGGCACGTTTCCATCGGGAGGCTGCAGAAAGCTGAAGCAGCGCTTGCACGGCTCGCTCTGTACCCATTGGCAACCTGCTACATGGGCATGGGCAGCAAAAAAGGGGTCGGCCCTGCCTAGGGTCGTGGCTTCTGTATGGCCCATTCTCACTTGCGACATAGACACGTGCACAACCATCGTTTCTTGCCACGTTGTTGTCTGGCAAGAGCATCACATCGAGGTGGCCATTCTGACGTGCAATGGACAGAGGACTGACACAGGTCTGGCACCATCGCTCCTGGCCGTGTTCTTGCTCGCACCCGTCTCAATTAGCAAGCGCACCAAATCAAGGTGACCATTCTGAATTGCGATGTAGGCAGGCGTGGCACCATCAGTCCTTGGTGAGTCCGGGTCGGGACGCGCCACATCCACTTGACCATTTTAACTTGCGATGAAAAGCAGGCGTGACGCCATCGTTCCGCTGACACACCCTTGTCGGCGCCATTCTCAACCAACAAGTACACCACATCAAGGTGACCAGCTTGACTTGCGATGAACACAGGCGTGGCACCATCTTCGGCTGCTTTGTCCACGTCGGCACCCTTCTCAATTAGCAGGCGCACTACATCAAGGTGACCATTCTGACTCGCGATGAACACAGGTGTGGCACCAACTTCCGCTGCTTCATCCTTGTCGGCACCATTCTCCACCTGCAGGTGCACCACACCAAGATGACCACTGAGGCTTTGACTTGCGACGAACACAGGTGTGGCCCCATAGTCCGCGGCTGTGTCCTCTTCGGCACCGCTCTCAATCAGCAAGCGCACCATACCCAGCTGACCGCTCTGACTTGCGATAAGGACATTGCTCAGTTACTGTTTGCTCTGTCGCTGTCGGAACCCATCTCGATCAGCAAGCACACGGGTGAGCGTTGTGAATTGCGGTGAGGACAGGCATTGCACCATCGTTCCTTGCTTTGTCCTTGTCGGCTCCGCTCGCACTCAACAAGCACACGACTATGACTATCTTAACTTGCGATGAAAACAAGCGCGGCCCCATCGTCCGCTGCTTGTCCACGTCGGCACCGTTCTCCATCAGCAGTCCCACTACATCAAGGTGACTATTCTGACCAGCTATGAACACAGGTGTGACACTGTCGCTCTTCGCTCGGTAGGTGTGGCACCATCGTCCGCTCTACCCTTGTCGCCCTTCTCAACTTAACAAGCGAACCACATCAAGCAAAGAGGGCCGTGGTGCAACTCTTGGTCGGAACCCGCAGACAGCAGGCGGCAGCATCCTCAGTGCTGTCACCAGCTCCCGTCCAGAAGGAATGCGGAGCATCGACTTCTCACGAACCCGATGCCTTCCAGATCGCAAGACGTGCACTTCGAGTCCTCTCTCCCCCCCCACTCTCCCAGAATGAAGAGATCTCAGAACCTGGCCACAGTAACCGCACGAGGGCCTCATCTGCCACGCCGTAGCCACGACAGCCTCCTCAAATCAAAGAAGATGGCATGGACCTCAAAGCGGAAAGTGAAGGAAACCTGCTCAGTTTCTGAGGAAGAGGACGAGGGTACCAGGAATGATCCGCAGCCCTACAGTAGCCGCTTTGAGGCTGAGCTTTCAGAATCGCGGCCATCAACCAACGATTCCGGTCGATGCACGCAACAGGCAACCCGTGCCAGCGAGCACCAGCATCAACCAAGTAGCAACGCTATGCACCAGGAAGGAGAACAATCACGAAACCAGGCAATATTATCAAGCAAGCACCATGCGAAGAAGCTCTCAGACGGGTAATGATGGCAACAGGTGAAACCGGTGCTGAGTCATACCTTCCCCCTGCCCCCGCCCGTCCCCCACTTGCTAGACTCATGTGGACCTTCGTCAGCACTGGAAGCTCAAGGCTGAACGCTGCAGAGAGACAAAGGTGGCCGCCAAAATACAGTGCAGTCTGCTCGATGCACGTGTGCGTAAGTCCGGCCGTGTTCTTGACGCAAACCGTCGTCGCACCCCATGCCTTCGGAAATGCATGTTACATGACAGTGTCACCAAGAACCAATTTAGGAAAGACCGTCCCTTTTGGTTCGCAAAGGAAGTGAAGCTCCGACGCTCTGAAGACTGGAGCTTCAGAGCGAAAATTCCTGAACCACCCTCTTTACTTACACCTGGACTATGCGTAGGCCAGGAACCGAGGCTGAACCACCCCGAGCGCGCATCTCAATTTAGCACGTCCAGTCTTTCGCCGCCTTGGCCATGTGACCGAAGACACACCACTGGTGCCAATTGGGTAGGCTTCCGTGCTTGGAACGGGGGTTCTAGATTCTGGCGGTTGAGCCAGATGCCACCGGCAACGCTGCGGGATTTTGCTGCTAGGGCTGTAAGTATCACCCCCCTAACGCCTTGTGACTTTCTCGTGTGGCAGCGGTTGTGTGCATTCAGCATGAGGCAGAAAGCACTAGAATAACACACATCATGGGAAGGTTCTTGCGTTGCTTCAGAACACTCTTTAGAACCGGAATTTGAGGTGTTTCCTGGGCCCGGATCTTGATGCTTGGGATTTCTGTTGCCTCCTACGATGCCTGGCGTTTCAGGGTTGAGGGTTCCGGGTGTAGTTGCCCAACGAGCCGCGTCGAGGGACAGGGTGCTAAAGACGATCCTTGCATAGACGAACACTGAACATGCAAAACTTGATGTTCGATGTGCAGCTCAGATTCTTGAACCCTGGAACAAGCGCTCCTTTCGCGTTTGTGGGAAGTCTGAAAAGCTCACAACTAAAGCTGTGGGTCGCTCCCTCCTTGAGCGAAACGTTACATCACGGAACACCAACTTGCGAAGAACTTTATATATATAACTCTTTCTCACACATGCCAGCTATAGTGAGTAAGCCAGAACAACTTCGAACGCAACAGGAACCGCTCTTTCATCGCATCGCCAGGCTCCTGTCTCCGTAAACAACGAGCTCGGGCTCCAAGAAAGCTCCGGCTCCAAAAGCTTGCGGATGTCCCAATGCGAACAGAGACAAGTTCTCGTCAACCTGGAACTATCCACTATCCGCTGTATGGGTCCCCACCCCAGGCAGCTCACTCTGGTTCTCGAGGACTTGGACACTCGGCCTGTTATGACGCCTTTTTGCAGGGGAACTCCCACACCCAAGACAGCAGCCTCCTCAGGCTACTGTGACCGTGCTGACAAGTCCGGCATCGAAACTCAAGAACGTGATGGAAATAAGCCGCCCTTCAAGCTCAGCTGGCGCTGTCGGCTCCCAAGGAGGTTGATGCCACTGATGCCTGAAATACTCCTACTCGCAGGGCCGAACGGAACGGGAGTCCCCGACACTGCTTGTCCACGCGATAAGTCCGAAAGGATTGTAAAAAAGGTTGGCGACCTGTCGCCAAGCTGCTAGACCTGAGGTGAAGAACGCTTTAATCGGGCCCGGCGAAACCCTCTGCAATTCGAGAAGTTGCAGCTAAGCGGCCAAATGCTACTGGACCCTGAGAATCCTAGACTCTTGGCTTGCAGAGGCAACTTCTCTTGAGCTCCAAGAACGAGAGCTCCCTCATCTAGCGGCATGTGACGGATTAAAGCATTAAGCTGTCGGGCAAACCGGCAAGCCCCGTGAATTGAAGCTGCCGGCGACAGAGAGAGACGTGGACGTGCTCAGGCAGAATGACAGAAGGCCCGCCGCCTGCCACCCACCCCTTCGGGGAAGCCGAGGTCTGGCTTGGTCTGTCACGCATCGGGGATTACATATTCGAAATCAAGGGCCAGCGCCGGCTACTCTAAGCACGCCCCGTGCGATCGCAACCTGTGATCCCAAAGTGGACACGTACCAAATTATCTTCCAGTTGCCATATGCAAAAACACGGGTGCAGAATCAGACCCCATCCGCAGACTCGGGGGGCCCACATCCCAAAGCTGGGGTGATCCAAGTGAACGGCTTGTCGGAATCAAGGCCACGCTGTAGATCCCAGCCTCGGCCTAAGCCCTCACTGCCTTCACATAAGTGGGACGGGTGGGCGGGAAAAGGGAAATGATCCAGCACCCCTCTTGCACTGCAGATCCGAGCTCCTTGACATGTGGGCCCAAGTTGCAAGATGGGCTAGGATGCAGGCTCCAGATCGCGGTGAAGTCTGAGCCCCTGCATGATGGGACAGCATAGCACTGCGAATCAGCGAAACGGTAGCGGAATCGGTAGACATCCAAGACGAGCTCAATGATGCGGATGGTGCCACGGGCTGCGTGTTGCAGTGAAGGCATGTCATGTTTTCCCCCTCTGCCGACATCTGCCAAGCTTGCGCCCGATTGAAACGCTCGAGCCCAGATTCACTGCCTGCTCCACCTATTATTGTACAGCCCATACGGCAGTGATGCTGCAAGTGGACCACTGACGAGTGCACCCGATCAGTTTGGACAGGCTGGGCAGTGGCTGGACCACAGCTACCCCCTCAGCATTGCTTGAGCGATGCCCAACAGCTCGACAACACATGGTGTGCACTTGAACGCTTGCTCCCGGGAAGCCCCAGTGCATGTCCACAGTGGACTGGTAGGTTTGAACTCACCTCGGTTCCAACAGCCTAATGTCATCCACTTGCACCTCTTGACAACGCGCTCGCCCGCAAGGAGGGTAGCTCCCCATGTCGCGACAGGGGGGAACTACGCAAAGAACATCATGATCCCCACCTGGGGCCTGTGCTTCGGTGGAACCTTCACGGCAAGACTCCTGGACTGCAAGGCGTCCGTGCAAAAGAACACCTGCTGTCAGCATTCGGTCTCACCCCCTTGCCGCAGGGAATCAAAAGCCGCAAGTCATCGCGAATAACTCAAAGATCGTGCTAATCTTCATGGTCCCGTGTCCTTGCGGAGGTGGTCAGTGAGCTCGTGGCTGCGCGCGTTTCGGAGCTCGCATGATTGACAACCTGGTACCAAAGCTGCCGCTTGCCACCGCCCACATTTCAGCACCACAGGGAGAGGAGGCACGAAGCTGTCCAAACACATGAACAGAGCGCAAGGCACACACACATACGTAGAATCATGCAATTTCAATCCGCGGCTGCGAGCCAGTCTTGTTACCGAATTCTTGTGAACGTGTTGCACATTAAGCTGCGGTGCATGAGTCTGATGCGGCTTACCGAGTGGCATATCCTGCCATGCAGCAGCTTTGCCAGAAATTGCCAACTGGTATTGGCGGTTGCTTCCACTTGGGCTGGAGTCTCGGTGCAACACAGCCGACCCGCAACCCTAAACCTTGACGGGTTCGTTCGGAATTGTCAAAAAAAAGCTGTGCCTCGCTAAAGGACCCTCAGCCCCAGAATTTGTTTAGGCTTCCGGGCACGTGCTGTCGTTCGAGGCTTTAAGTTATGGGGTTCAGGCCCAGGCCCGCACCGGTGATGGGCAGCCACTGGCCCAATCCAGACGGCAAGGACAACCCTCTTAAATTACTCTTAAACCTACGGGAAGTGCTGCTGCGCGCAGCTCACCGGGCCACTCCACCAAAGCGATGTCAGCCTAAATATAATTGGGAACCTCTTGAACTCGAACGGAGTGGTGGAGCAACTGCACACCGCAAGCTCTTTGCGAACACTAGATACGTCCCAGTCTGCTCGGTCAACAAGCACGCCGAGACAGCAACCAAAGGGGCCGATGCATTGCAACAGAGCGCATGGTGAGGAAGGGCTAGACTCTCCAAGCCTCAAACCTTAAAACCCATGTCATGCCCAAACTCGACATGGACTAACTTGCGGCGGATGCGCGCTTCTGATGCAAACAAAACCTGGCACATCTTCCCCAACGTCTCTCATTCTGAGAACTTGCGGCATATCCGGGAATCCGG